GAGAGTTTTCGGTTTTAGATACTACGTATTGAGCTCTGAACCCGGTTTGAAACGGTATGGGTCAGGATGAGAAGAATCAGAGACTAGTCACTTGTTGTTTCGGAGGGTGGGGATTAGGATGATTACCCACTTGGGAACCTGGTTTGGTAAAGCTCTTTAGAAACGTATTCCGCTTTCACGATCCGGTTTTCGTAGAGCCTTCCGTGTAACGAATGCGCTGCATCACGTGTGGCTTCTGGTCTTCTGTACTCGATGAAGATACAACCCGGCTCAAACACATCCTTGGGATCTTCTTCTTCCTCTATCTTTTCTCCAGTATCCCATCTTGTCTTCACAGCACGCGCTGATCCTACTACTTCTTGCGGATTCTCTGGCTCGTCCGGTACATTTTCCCTATCAATCTTTTCACTGGATTCGTCGTGATCTTCATTTGCTTGAGTGTTTGTCTCGACGGCAGTATCTGAGTACGGTTCAATTAACGTGTCTTCAACCGTCGAACTGTCTGGCCTGACAACCTCTTCAGGATCTACATGGTCTACAATATCATTTGCTTTCTTTGATCCCTCGTCTTTCTCCTGATTCAGTGACACGCTCGTTTCTTTAGATTCAGTTGTTTCTGGGTTTAACGATGCATCTGTTCCCCAGCCAGTGATATCTTTGCTCTGGTGTCCCACGATGTTAATCGACTTAATAACCCCAAACCTGCATCAACGACAAGAGACAAAGGTCTATTTTCTTAATTTACTAGCTTTTAAAGCTCAATGAACTCATGGGAAGAACAATCTCAGAGCTTAACCTGGCACATTCAAACCGTACATCCTCCAGAATTGCTTTCACTTCTGCCTCGGAAAGAGACGGGAAATCTTCTGGGTCAACCTATCAATCAAACAAGACAATAGAAATTCTATATAGCTTCACATAGTATATGTGGGAAAGATTCATAATAAAAAGGACAACTCTAGTCTCCTTACCACATTCTTAAGCTTTAGAATATGCTTAGGCTTGCCAAGAAGTGGTTTTGCATGCTCAGGTATCCCGTAGAATGGTGGATTCTCATTCACCTGGAACACATTATATACCACACCACTCTCACAGGTAGCTAAAGGAATTTATCGTCTATGTCACCCATACAAACAGAACATGAACTAACTCGAGAAAAGATAGTCATTGGATTACCGCGACAGATGATGCATCAGGACGTGCGCAAACGGCAGTTATTACATTGCCACCTAACTTCATACCATTAAGACCAGCACAAGCTTTGGGGGTCAAAGATCCATCAGTGTACTGAGGTATAGAATTGTAAAACAGAGTTAAAACATATGTGGATATCTGGAAGTACAGTGGCATTATCGGTTACTATCTACAACTTCCTGGAAAAAACATCCACCCGTGCTACCCGGAAAATGAACACATCCATATGAAACAAATCACAATAACTACATCAAACTGGGGTATCTAAATTGAACTTCAAGGCATATATAGGAAGATCGTACTAGAGAAAGCCATAATAAAAGCAATTTCTGACCTCTAGGAAAGCGCACCGCTGATTGAGATCATTATTGATCACAAATCGGTATGCCTTCAAAGGTCCAAAGACGCTGACAATCTCCATTAGCTGAAAAAGCGGCAAAGAGGAATCAGACAATCCTAGAATTTGAAACGTTGGAGATTTATAATAAAAGGAGAAACAGGACCAATAGGAGATTGAACATGTTAAAAGTTTTCAAGGAAATACAGCTCAGCATACCATTTCCGATGAAATTGTCTCTGGAAATCCGCCAATAAAGATCTACAACAAGTACATTAGAATCAACAGCAAGCTCGACCAAAAAAAAAGAAGGAATTAATACCAAGCAACTAGCATAATCCAAAAACAGATTAACGCTTTTAACATTATCAAACATAAAGATGCCACAGATGAAGAAAGAGATATTCTACACTCATTTTCAATAGTAAAAGTTTTACCCACTGTCAAAAGATTAAGGCATTAATTTCTACCTTTTTCGATGAGTCCTCCACATGGTCACTTAGTGCATTTGTTGTTGGCTCCGTTTTCTCCAATTCTCCGCTCTGCATGAAAATAGCAACCGTCTGAAAACCTGCTTATTGGATGGTAACCATAACATAGCTCAGAAACTATAACAAAAACCAAGGTACTGGTTTACAAGGCGAACAGAAGGACAAAGTCCACAGCCCTTGATAATCAGTCATTTTCCATAGATTTTCCTACAATTACTTAGCCGAAGATCACAGCAAGAACCAACCAAACATGAAGGACAAAGACAAAAAAATTCTTATTCGCTTAGACTCTAGAAAAGGTATGTTCCACCTTGTTAGAGATATAAAAATTCTATGAATCTTTCACCATTTTAGAATGTTGATCATAAGCAAGTGGCAAGAGTTTAGGTCATGAATGTAATTCTTAGGAGCTATATCACGATGCATAGAGATAACAATCAACACCAAATATCTGATCCTGCTGAGGAACAGAAACACAGAAATGACCAAATAGATAAAATAAAAAGAAGAAAAAGAGCATCCTAAGCACACACATTCTGCTCGGAGAATGTGGTTGCCTATGCAAGTTATGCGAATATTCCGACAACCACATTCAGCTCGGAGAAGAACAAAGATAAAACAGATTGATATGGTATCATATGATACCAAAAAAAAAAAAACAAACGGAACAAAAAACACAAGAAAAAGAAACCATAATTCACAGAGGAATCATATGGATGATCAGTATTTATTCCCAAAATCCCAAAAGAGAGAAGTAAGATGAAAAGAAACTTGAAACACAACAAACTCGTCACTACACCTGGGAGTCTTCTTATTTAGCAGACAGCTTCATCACCCTCCTGAATGTGAATTATGACATACCCAACATAAACATCCTATTTAAGAGATTCCAACACACGACAGTCAGAATACGGTTTGACATGTGGCTTGAAAACATATTATTTCAAGTGCAGAAATCCTTAAACTATAGTAATTGTTAGTGTCGCCTATTGTTGGTATTACCGCAGCACGTGAAAGAAACATATAAGTGTTTCAATCCAATTGCAATTAAAGAATAAGATTGCATCTTAATAAATCAAGACCTTTTGCAACTATTAAATCACTTTGACTTCACAAGTCAGCTAGAGAATCATGTGATGGAAACCTCAAGCAATTAAAGGAGGAAAAATAAATTCTATTTCTATAACCTCTTCTAGAAATTACATCAACAAATTCCAAATTTCTATTCTCAGAGGGCCATCCTTGGGGAAAATGGCTAAGGGTTAACCTTACTGAACCAATCCAAACCATAAATTTGCCTACAGTTGTAAGATCAACAGATGTGTTTTATAACTGTCTTGCATGTATTAACTCTCAAGTTCCATATCTGTATACTTTGAATCTCTAATTCTCTATTTGGATCAAAAGAGGACTCATGCTTTCTACTAGTAAATGATGTAACATAAACTTGCACAAGACAATGGTCATATATTACAATAATTGGATGCCAACTTGCTTCCAAGCTTAAATCATCAAAAAGACATATATGCTGAAGGTAAGAACATTAACCATTGAACATATATGCAGTTTGCAAATAAACCAGACCCAGATGACTATTAAAAGTTAAAAAATGTGGAGCAGATGGCAAGAGTTCTATAGAAATAGAATGTAGAGATTGTAATTCTTACTGTTGTCTCGACATAGTCTTTAGGGCGTCGAATTTTGAGGTTTGCGCCCGCAAAGGAGCAGCCATCTAAGGATAGTGCAGCAGAGGCATCCTGTGGAGTAAGGAACTCCACTAGTGCCTGACTTTTTTCCTTGTTTATCTGCATTTAGAGGACCAAAATACTCAGGTGATATAATCCACAAACATAACAAGAGTGATATGAATAAGGAAGTCATTCTCAAGAGACCCACAATGCAACTAATACAGGGTTCGCTTCCTTTTATGTGATTAGAGCCTGAAGATAGCATATAGCCATTAAAGTATTCAATCAGAGACTTCTCAGAGGCTGAATCTGGCACATTTTCTGCGTAAAGTCTCCTCATAAGCCTGGTGGATTCAGTCAGTTGAACAGAATCAACTGAAGTGGTCTGCCTTGCCGGTTGCGTCCTAAAAGGTGCCTCCATAAGTGGCTTCAAGAGCGTCAAGGAAGCCTCACTGATGGAAGGATATGCTGTCTGAGTTGCTGCTTGGAGACCAGAAAAAGCTGAGCCTGAGAAGATGCCAGCAGTTACAGTAGGTGTAAGATCCCATTTACCACTCTTTTTCTCAGAAGAAAGATTAGGTGCAGAAGCAGCCTTGGCAGAGGTGTCCTCCCTTCTTTTCCGTGGTGAATATCCACCAAGTTCACTTTTAGAACCACTATACCTTCTAGATTTGTTATTTACTGTGCTTGCTGCTTTGTTTTCGTTATCATTAAACTGATGCTTTCCAGACTTATCTATAACAGCATTTTCCAAGTCCTCCTCATGGCCTCTCTTATGACGCGATGTAGCCTTTTCAGCCCTTGGTAAAGGGGATGACCTTTTCTGTCTATCCTGCCCATGATCTCGACTTCTTGATCTCCTTCTTTTCTCTCTCATGTCACGTTGATGTGATTTTGACTGTTCCCTTTTCTCCCATCGCTCTGAAACTTGAACACTGTGCACTTTTCCTGGATCATGCCTCTTTGACATATTCCTCTCTCTATTCTTCTTATGATCTCCATTTTGATTCTTTCTCTTGTCTCCATCGTCAGGTTTTATACTATTTTCATCTCGAGGTATGTCTGCCACCACTAGACTTCTAAGACGCTTCCTGCTACCAGGTAAATTTTCAGGAGCACTTCTTGCTTGTTCACGACCTGTATCCTGCGGATGAATCTGCTTTTCAGTTGTCTTTGCCGCATGGCTTTCTCTTTTTGACTTCATTTTGGTGTCTACACCAAGCCCATCTCTATCTGTCATTGTTTTTGTTTCAGTTGTAGAGCATTCTCCTTCAATGCTCATTTTTCTGTTAGAAGCAAGGTCTTCCTTTTTCATCTTTTTATCTAGTCTTTCCTCCTTATAGCTAGAATTCGTTTCTTCTTTCTTTCTTCGTCTATCCTTAATATGTTCTTCCACTAATTTTGTTTCAGCTCTAGAACGCTCTCCTTCTGCCTTCCTTTTTCTATTTGCAGTAGGCTCCTCCCCTCTTTTTGGTTTATCTAGTCTTTCTTCCCTAGAACTAGAAATGGCATCTTCTTTCTTTCTTGAACTGTCCTTAACACGCTCTTCACGCCTCAGTTTTTCAGATCTATTAGACTTAGGATAGTCAGAAACTTTCTTAACAAGATCGTTACCAAGTAACTGAGCTGTTCCCACAAGGTCCTCTTTCATCGGTTTTTCTTCCCTTGAATTAGAAATGGCATCTTCCTTCTTGCTTGAACTGTCCTTAACGCGCTCTTTAGATCTATCATGCCCTTTTTCAGACGCATGATAGTCAGAAAACTTCTCAACAAGATCGTTAGTCTGTGACGCAGCCTCTCCCACAGGGTCCTCTTTCATCAGTGTTGCTTCCCTTGAATTAGAAATGGCATCTTCCTTCTTGCTTGAATTGTCCTTAACACGTTCTTCACTCCTCACTTTCTTGGATCTATCATGCCCTTTTTCAGATGCATGATAGTCAGAAAACTTCTCAACAAGATCGCTAGTCTGTGACTGAGCTGCTCCCACAGGGTCTTCTATCATCGTTTTTTTTAGTTTTTCTTCCTTAGTACTAGAAATGGAGTCTTCTTTCTTGCTTGAACTGTCCTTAACACGTTCTTCACGCCTCACTTTCTTGGATCTATCATGCCCTTTTTCAGGCTCATGGTAGTCAGAAACTTTCTCAACAATATCCTTACCCAGTAACTCAGCTGCTCCTACCGTTTCCTCCTTCAAATTTTCCAAGGTCTCTTTCCTCTTCCTTCTTAGCATAATCTCCTCCACACTTGTAGGTCTTGTTCGAGCAGCAGATCCTTCATTTACAAGCTCTTCATGTCCATCAGACTTTTCCTTTTGCTTACTAACTTCCTTCATCCTGCTTGCTTAAGGAGAAAATGCAGACTATATTAATCCTTTGAAATAATGAGCAGAAATCACAGTCATCAGCAGAACAAATCATTAAGTAAAGGACAGAGAACATAAGACAATGCACAGCTGAATTCATGAATATGTCTTACAACTTGTAATATCCCATCGTCAAGTAAAATTCCTCCCTCAACTAATTACACAGAGCCAGAAACAGCAATCGATCAATGTGCTACCACAATACCGTTCCAGCATTTTCTATTAGTTCATAGATCCTCAATCACATTAACAAGTTCCCAACCACCAAAAAAAGTAAGTAATAACCAAATTTCCTTGTCTTTACATGAAACTCATCTCTCAAAAAGCCATTTCCTAACTGGTAAACTACAAACTTCCAGGTGAACGAACAAATAAGCAATCAGCGGAGGAAATTTGTATG